CAAATCTAATTCCATCTGAGTTAGTTAAGTAAATTATTTGTAAGAAACAGAAACTTTGCATGACATGCTTCTCTATTCCCCATATGACCCAGTTAAGTCTGTTGTATAAATAGTATCATTTTGCAATTCTATTCATATCAACATATTTTCCTACCTGCAACAGTTCTGTCTTGTCTGGATTAAATTTCATTTGTCCTCATCCATCCCATAATTACTCCCAAATACCTGGTCAAAGTTTCCACAGCTTTCTTTGGATTAAATGATGGAAACAAAAGAGAGAACTGCATGTTATCTGCAGATTGATGCCATCTGAGCTCAAACCTCATGTTAATTTCTTTCAGGAATGTTTTGTGTGGATGTTAAAAAGAATGAGAGACCAGATAGAACGTTGACATACACCAAAGTTTGTGACTTTGGAACAAGCACTGTAGTAACACCATTTTTAACACCTTCATCCTGAAATACCATAACAGCATGTCTTCAACTCACAGCAGGATACTATAATTAAAAATGTAAAAATGAGAGGTTCAAAAGAACCAACTGCATGGAATTGAAGGAGGAATTTTCATGGGATTTGAGATGGAACCCCAAGAATAACAACAACAATTTTAAAAATTGAGCCAAAATCTAGAAAGAATTTAGCAGGCTTTATTATTCAGTCAACCAAGCCAGCAGGTGCCACACTTATAATAACAAGGTGCTAACAAGAGGAGCAAAAGTGTTAACCACAACAGGGCAATTCATTACCAGGCTGAGAATCATAGTGGCTGCTGCTGGGACCCAAGGTCTTTTAGATAGCAGTAAAATAAATGTATCAGCTCAGGGATAGGCTTAAAGGCTCTTTGTTCTAAGCAAAGCCTCATCATATAAGATGAGTGACATATATTATTATTATATTAATATGTTGAATCAGATCCAATTAGTAATAGTATATGGGTTGCTAAAGGGAAATGACCAATTAAATTGATTCTGATTCAATGTAATTATAATGTAACTAATCATATGAAAAGGTTGATTTGCATATGCCAGTAAAGAGGGTTTATAACCCATCCCTCTTTAGGTAACATTCACTGCCTCCAGTTAACTGTAAGTGTCAATAAATCAACTTAGGCTTCAGTGTAAGCCTGTCCTGGCTTCTGATTTAATTCCCTTTAAGGGAATTATTTTCTACAACAGGAGAAGAAAGCTAAATTTAGAACAAACTGCATGGGACAAAAAGTTAAATTCCTCTTTCATACTTTTTGTACTCCCTATTTTTTTCAGTTTTTTTTTCCTTGCTGCTTTTTTTCATATTTACTTGTACATGAAATGAAAAGATGCATGGAATATTGTGTTTAATTTGGCCTTTAATTATGATTGAGTTCATAACTTTCAATACATTGCACATCTTCATCTTATATACGTACATTTAAGCAGAAATGAATTCCAGCATGTGCAAATAATTATGCACACAGTACTTGCAGATTAGTACTTGCAACTAATTTATGAGAAGAATCAGGGGACAAGATTACATAAGTTAATTTAATTAATGAGTCAATTACTGCTTTTCATATCGTAAATTAGAAACAAATAAAAATGACAATTGTTAAAACATGTAAGCATTTTAAATACTTTAAAAAACTATTTACTGCATGTCCAAATTAAATAACTCCAAGTATTCACGTAGGGAAAGTAACAATGAGACAAGAGGTGCATTGCCTAAAGTAAATTGCAACAGGCACCTCACAGTTAATGGGTGGAGATGTTCCACAGAGTGCCCCCCCCCGCCCGAAAAGGCCTGCTTCTGAGTAACTGTCAGATTACGGTCCGCGGAGCTATTTCGTAAACATTTTAGAAACATTGCCAGAAATTAGGCTAGGCCCATTCCAGTCAAATCTTGACACTTTACCAATAATAATGAGACATATGCTTAACTTTCTATCATATGAATTAGCGGAATCCTAACTTTGGCTGGCGTGTCCTCATATATTTGGCAAGGGATGTTCTAGAAGTGTGATTGCTTAATTTGCTGTACTCTATTTTAAACCAAGGTAAGCATTTCTGCTAAAATGTGTAATAGTACAAAAAAATGGCTAGGTAAATTTCTGAAAGGACTGTTTCAACCCCCATTAAGTTAGTCTATCTAGCCCTATAGTATCAGTGCTAATACTGGCAGGGGCCGTCCAGGTGGAGACAGTATCATCCATGCTTTGATTACCTTTTCTTCTGCTCCAAGCAGCTTTTGTTCTTTTCTTTGATGGTGAAGATTATTCTATATCAGAAACTTGATTTCTAAGGGACTTCAGAGTACCATTGTTTGAGATTTAATGAACAAGATACTATTATCTCAGGCCATTAATGGTAGATGTAACATACTGCTGAAAAGTGACTCATTTAAAAGCAGGGTTGGAAAGACAGCAGCTCTCCAGATGCTGTTCCTACATACCCCAGCAGTGGTCTAAGCTGATGGGAGCTAAAGTCCAACAATATTTGGGAGCCCATAGATTAGCCCTAACCCTGTTTTTAAAAAAGGTTTATGCTAACTTCCTTTCATTTCATGTCAAGGACACTGCAGAACAATAATTTAATTTAACATTTGTTTGCTTTTCAGTGACCTATTAGTGTAATATTCTTACTATTTCTAATTTTAGGAAACCTGTTGCACTGTTCAAAATAATTTTGACCCAGTTGAAGCAAAAATAAATTTGTCTAGTCCAGCATACTTCCTTCCCCATCATTACTTGAATAACTTCTGCATTATGTGAAGAATTCTTTCATTTGTCCCAAATTTAATCAATGTCATGTTCTATTAACATGGGACAGAGACATATGTATCTGTTCCTACTGATGATGCTAAAATGATAAAATGTGCTGTGATGTCACAACACAAGTAACATCCTTTCACATTTGCATTCCATGCAATACATAATGGTGGAGCATGCATCACAATGTCTCAATGAATGTTTTGACATTTGTCCTCTTTGCCCCTCCCCTACAAAAGCCTTTGAATGGAGTCTGTCCATGTCTGCTCTTATCTCACTGTGCATAACTGTACAGCTCTCATGTTCCTTAGCGTAGTTGTTCTTGTGAATAAAGACTCCCAATACTGTAGTGTTTCTTTTTAGGATAGATGTCCAGCTCTTTGATCAGTTTGAAATAGGGCAACCAGAAAATTAGTTTTCAAAATGTATTGTATTTTTCTACCACAAGACCATGATTAGTAGCATTTCTGTGTTCACACTGTTTCTTGATGATCCACAGCCTAGCATGGAGTTGCTTAGTGAGTTAACATTTCTGTTTTCCTGTTAGCTATTCACTACAGGTCTAGGATCTATTTTCTGTTTAGGCATAACCAGTGTAGATGTTATTTCTATATTGTATGTGAGTATAGCACGTTGTGAAGTTAGGTGGTGGTTTATTTTCTTTTGATCTAGAGCACATTATTTTACACTTTCATAAATGGAGTCTAACTTGCCATTTTATTTCCCATTCCCCTTTATTTTTGTACTATATATTTGTTTTCACTATCCTGAAAAATTTGGAGCCATCTGCAAACTTGATCACATCATTTATGAACAGTGAAATGTAACATAAGTGTGTCAGTGCTGAACTCCATTCATTCTTCATTTGCCTGAGGGCATAAATATTAGTTATTAGTCATTATTATCAACAACTACTACAACAACACACCTTTACCAAAATGTGGTTCAGTTAAAAAGAAAAGTACCATAGTTACAAACTCCTGTCCAATAAAATTAGTTCACAAATTAACGTTAAATATTAAAACCAATATTTACAACTGAAATAAATCAAACACAATGATGTGTATTTAAAGGAATGCCCTACAGTACTGCAGAATATATATGCATTTATAAATAATATAAAACAAATCTGATCTAAAAACTACAAATCTTATGAGAACAGGGCAAATTACCTAATCACAAACTAATCCACTAATCAAATAAAAAGGACTTTAAACTCCTTTTAAAGGCCTTCAAACTTTCCTAGAGATGAAAGAAAGGAGGGAGCTGATTTTAAAGTCACAAGGCCAGGTGAAAGCTGGAATCGGGAGACCACAGCCTGGAAAAGTGAACATAAATAGATACTAAGAAAAATGTAAAGAATAAGTAAGTTTGTAGTGAGAAATGCAGGTAGATGTGTACTGGTGTGAATGTGTGTAAGACCAGAGAGTGCTAACCAAAAGCATCTGTAGTTTGAATTGGGCTCTGGCTTAAATAGGGTCCTATGATGTAACAAAAGATGGGAATAACATGGAAACACCAAAACAAGCCAAACAGAATCAGAAGATGGAGAGGAGAGTTGGGAACACCTGCCAGGAGACTACTGCAGGGAGTAACCAAAGATACATCAGTAAATCTGCCATCACTTCTGTCAAAGGTTGTCAACCCTTCAAGGAAACATGCTCCACAAGAATGCTTGAACTCTTCTTAATTGATTGATTGGCTATAGTAACAGAATCTGGAAAGCCTAGTTATGTTTTCCCTTCCCTCCATTTTATATCTCAGGGAATTAAAGTGGAGTCAATTTGAGTTTCTAATGTTTTCTTTCTCTCCCTGGCTTAAAGCATGTTTTTGTAACTGTCACTGCTTAGTTTCTTTAACTTAATCTCTGTGGCTCACTGCAGAGATTCCTGGATCCTGGAAATTTGTAACCCTTATCATGAAATCAATAAGCAAGAGCAAAGACCGGTGATCATCAGTTAAGATACTGGGACTGCAAACAGAAAAAACAGTTGCAGCCCTTTTTAGATCAGGAAGTGCTTTTGGAAGTGACTTCCAGGTGACTACCACCTCAAAGTTAGACTACTGCAATTTGTTTTATTTGGGGCTGGCTTTGAAGACTATCTGGAAGCTGCAGCTGGGACAGAATTCAGCTGCCCACTTGCTGACTGATGGAAGCTGTGTTAGCAGTATAATCCCTGTTTTGAGGTTACATTGGTTGCCAATAAGCTTCAGAGTTCATTTCAAAGTGCTGTTGGTAACTATAAAATCCTACACGGTTTGGCTCCATTTCCCTTTGGGACTATCTCCCTTTAATAGCATCTGCCATTGATGCAGTCTTTCTTGGAGGAGATAGAGTTCCTTTTCTGCAAGGATGAGGGTGGCAGAAGACCAGAAATAGACCTATGTTGCTGTGCCATGATTATGGATGAGTTGCCCCAGAAGTCCAATTGGTTCCTCCCCTTCTAAGTTTTAGGAAGACAGTTAAAACAGTCTTGTTCTTCTGGGCATCCAGAAATTAAGTGATGTTTGGGTTGCTTTTTGTTGGCTTTTGATGACATATTTTAGATGTAATATGATTGTTTTTAATCAATATATTTTATTTTTTAAGGGTTTGATTTTGTATATTGATATTGTATTTTAATATTACATGTTTTATGTACTATAAATCACTAGAGTCTTGGGATAGAATAGTATACAAATTTAATAATAAAATAAACCACGTTCATTGGATTTATAGGACATATGAAACCAAATCAAATAAACCACAATGGTTTAACATATATTTCTGCATGCAAATGTGTTTGCAGGGAAAACTTCATTTGTTTTATTTCTGTTAATTGTATCACTATTAAAAGCCCTAAACAAGGGAACTACAGTTGAGTATCGCCACTGAACTTTACTTTATATGGGAACAGGTTGGTTTTCTGAAACTGATAGCAATGCTTCTGGAACAATGAGCTAGCTGGGTGGGGGTTTTTTTTGTTTTTGTTTCGCATGTCTGTGTGTTTGTTTGACATTCAATCAATTATACATATT